ACGGAAACAATTGTACCGAACCTACGCTTTGCTCCACACATCAGCCCCCCTCCCCGGCACGTGTCGACATGACGTCGTCACACCTCACTCTCCAACTCGCCCTCGGTCCCCCTCGACTTCGGTGTGCGGTGTGTGTTTGTTGTGTTCTGTCCCCCTTTTGTTGTTTGTGTTCCTCCCTGCCGACCTCGGTCATGTCGGTTGGTGTCGCAAATGGGTTACGTTGAGGTGTGATGCAGAATGGCCGACGGCAGCGAATGTGCCCCTCGCCTCCTCTCCCCTCTCGGTCGTTTTCGGTGTTATGACGGTGGACTAAATGTTTACCGGAATTTAGTTACATTTTGATGACTTTTATGGTCGAGTGATTTTGTGTTGGCGAGTTGAGTTGCGTTGATGATTGATATGGCGCCAAGTCTCTCGCCTCTACAAAGGGAAACGGCTACATTATACTGCGCAAAACTGCATACTGGAAAATTTTTTTCAGGCAAAAATTCTCGGTCTCGCAGTTTTAATGAAGGAAAGGGAGACTTAAGGAACGGGAATACAGATCCATGTTTGTATATTTTAGGATGAAGTGAAAAAATTAACATTAAATAGTTCGTTCAAATTCGTATTTACATCTTTTTTTTTTTTGGACGTTCTACGAGAAATTTCGGTGGACCACACAGACACACGGAACCGAACATGACAACATGTTTCTCCTCCCTGGTTTGATTAAAATTGTCTCTCTCTACCTGTGAAAACTTTTCACTCCTTTAACGAAAGACGTACACACACCCACCACATACATACTCACAACAACCAGAGTCCTGTTTTTCCCCGTTCAGGTGGGTACAGTCTATAACGACGGGAAAGACGGATTGTCCGAGGTCTCGCCGTGCTCTCGGGATTGACCGGCAGCGCGACGCGGTGGAGGAGGCGAGTGGGTGGTGTTGTGCTCTGTGTCTGTCCGTAGATGTGGAGAGTGTACGTGTGAGTGCGGGTGAGAGTGCTTTGAGTCCGTCGGTCTGTCCCGAAAGACCCAGTGTGTGTCCGTGCCAGTAAGTTTGTAGAGGTCGGTCGATCGCGCTCCGCAAGGGCCGGTGTTGACGGGGTCACCGGTGAAACTGGAAAGGACAGGCCCCGCGATTAGCCTAACACAGGGGGGAGAAATACTTTAAGTCTGCGATTTTTTTCCACGTCGTCCGACAACATTGACGCCTACCCTCCGGGGTCTCGATACCTAAAACGGAATCCGGGGGTCATTTAATGGAGAATAATACAAACGCAGAGCACACCTAAGATATGGGAGGTTTCCGGAGGCCCCGAGACCTGTACCCACTATGTACCTCATATCCCGTTGTTCCATCAAACTAGTCTTTCGTTCTTCCAGAAATTAACACACTCTTTCCCTTTGACCCACCACAAACGTACTACAATGTGAGGTATGCACGATGGGGCCGGGCTTGGGTCAACTAGAAAAAAAGTGGAAGGAACGAAACACAACGCAGAAAGTAAGAGAGTTAACGGGAAACTTGATCGTTACAGTAACGAGTAAACTAACTTCGCGTGTTGGACGTCCTTCTGATAACAGATCCTTCTCTTGGTATCGTTATGGCCACGGTTCATAATGTCGGTTTTGTGATTGAAGAATGACAACGTAAAGTCCCAATTTGAAATAAAGAGGTTTTTCCGTTTAAACCCGATGTTTTTCACAGGGTTTCATTCACAGTTTAATCTTTATAGTTAGGGGGTATTACATATAATCCTGTGAAAGTGTTCGGTCATAATACACTTAAACTTTAGTTTACATAACCACGACTAAGTCCAGGCTACCTTGTCAGATCAAGTCAACAAATATTGTCTTGTTTTGACATCGGACTAGCATCGGTGAGAAATTAAACTTTTATCACCTACTTTTTCGTTTGACAAAAAAGTCCAAAGTCCGGAGCTTTTACTGTAAGGGCTTGTTTACTGGAAGAAGGCGAAGATTTTCCCCAATTTAATTAGTAAGAAAAAAGAGTTCCATTAAACTATTGAACACCTCAACCTACATTCTTTTCGCGTCTAGTATATCTACAAAAAATAAATTTCTTTTACAGGTCTAACAAACTTGTACCGATTTTTTACATTTAATTTCACAGCGCCCAGGTTTTGATAAAACATGAATATCCGACTTTTTGTATTGGAACCCTACTACCCAATCATCTGATTTTCGAAATCCTTAGGTTTCATGTTCGTATATTATTCATGGCATAGTTCCTAAACTTACGGGTTTTGTTCGTTAATTATTTAACTTCATTTAACAAATAGAAAAAATCGTGCAAATCGTTTTGTTTTGGAGAAGACGCGGTAAACCCACCTAAAGAGGTAATAGAGACCGGGGAGTAACGCGAGTAACGACCTGTACACTGTAGAGAAGGGACGGCAAATCTCGGTTATCGTTAGCTTCCCTTTAGCGAGGGCGTGTGCCGTTTTTTTTCCAACCGAAACGCGTACGTTCGAACGTCGTCCCCATCTTATAGGGACGAGACTATAGACCGTTTGTCTTCGTCAAAATAACGGAACTACACTAATAGCTTGTAAAGTTTCCCCTGTGTTCAGTGTTAACGAATCATAATTGGAATACCTAATTTGATTGTCGGGCAAAAATTAGCAAATTAACGGTAACTTCCTGGTCAAAACTGGTCTGTTTCTGGTTTTCCGCCATTCGGTACAATCGCAAAAACGCGATGATCGCTGGTGTACAAAACCTCATCCAAGACAATAAAAGAGATGTTTAACATTAGAACTCCACACCTTCACCCATGGTATCTAAGACGACAGAGCATGCTAGTATTTTGTTACACAACGCTCCGACGTCCGATCTATTCATTGCTTCCCACGATCCTCACCTAAAAGTCGACGTCGGCGGATTGCATCTTAATCACTCCCCCCCCCCTTCGGACATACCAGTAAGTAATAAATCACGACGTGTGAGGGTTGAGACGCAGGCCCTTCGTCTACTTTGTTGTGTGGTGTGTGTGTGTGTGTGTGTGTGTGTGTGTGTGTGTGTGTGTGTGTTTGTGTGTGTGTGGTGTTTGTGTGTTGTGTGTGTGTGGTGTGTGTATACGCCCAGTTACCCCACTGACCCCCAGGGTAGTCCCCGCATTCTCTCCTCTGGGTGATGTGTCACCTGTCCTACACTACTCGTCTCATAGTCTAACCCTCTGTCTGTTTAATGTTCATGTCTTAGCAATTCTCCCAGATTTTATTTTCAAAAACGATTAAAACTTCCCTTTTAATTTGAGTTTTTGTACACAGTATTCCTGTTTGACGGCGATATTTGTCACCCACGTGTATTGACCATGCGGAATGCGTACGCGCCGTTTGTTTTCACGCATTGCAGGTGAAACACAGTGGATTCGCGGAAACGCATGGCTGCCCTGAACACTTCGAAAAGGTCTTTCCGCGAATCTAGTGGTCTGCGTCTCAGCCAACGGCACACGGACATTGCCGCAGCTGCAAGCACTGTGTCTCCCGAAGTAGGGATCACCCCCGGGTTGTCAACCTCATGGTTTGTGACAGAGGACGATAGTAGACTCATTGTGTGAATTCTTTACATACCGTGGGGATTAATATTTTGTTACAAAAGAAGTGTTGGATGAGTGCTGTCTGACGTCGAGCTATGTAACTACATATTCCCCCGAGTGTGAAATTTCACTATGTATCTAACCCCTAATTAATAATATGGGGACAGTTGCCAAACCAGAACAAGGGAGTCAAGTAAATTTCTTGGTAAAGTATTGACTACGTATAAGATATCGGTGTCAAATCTCCCCTTTGTCATAGTCCCCATAAGTGATTTAAGTTGCTCCAGTCAATCTCTTTTAAGAGGGTTACGTTTCCAGGCCTTGTAGTTTTTTACAGATTGTACGAAATACTTAAATCACACTTATTATTAACTTCATCGGACGTCGAAATAGTTGCCTAGACGTACATTAGTTGTTGACTGACGGTAGTTTATTTCTTTCATGTTAAGTTTTTATGTTGTTGTATACAGGTTAATTGTATTGTATGCTTAGCATTTATGACACCTATACACTCAGGGAGACCGGTATTTTTTTTAATTACTTTTTTATTTTACGAGGTCCGCTGTTAACTCGGACCTCGCGGAGACGGTCCTTAATTTTGACCCTTTACCACAGTCCGAAAGATACTAGAGTAACCAATCGGACGGCCTTGGATATCATCCAACAGGACCCCTGCTAGTATACCGAGACTCTGCGTAACACCTGGAGTCAAGACTGACTCTCCACTTACACCAGTTCTGTGAACACAAAAAGAGGTATCCACGCCAGGTGAATTACTGCGGATGCCAGGACTTGTTTACTCTGTGACCAAGACACGGTCAACCCGTCACTACTTGTACTTACTCAGGCAGGTGAGTCCCAATTTTCAAGGTGACAGGAAGGGAGACCTCTGCGGTACCATTCATAAACAGACAGACGGCGATGGTGTGGACAGTGAGAGGAGGGAGAGATAGCGATTATAAGAGAAGTGAGTGAGGGCGGAAGACGGCGAGGAAGCAGAGAAGAAGTCTCAAGGGGCTAGCAGTGAGAGAGAAAGCGGGGGACAACGCGCCAAGTTATTTGCAGGGGCAGTTTTAACTTTGGGGAAATTAATACTATATCCAGGCCCAGCATATCCGGAGACCAGCCTGGCCTGCGCCAGGCGGACATGCTTGATACCATATCTACAAACAGGTACGACAAAAGTCGTATTGTTTTCGGGGGCACGTGATATGGGTAAGATGTATCGCTTTACCAAAAGGACTATGAGTTTGACCGGATTGGACAAGGTCTGGGATTTCACCTGTAATGAAACGACCTCACGGTCACATAGTATGCATACAGTCAACAGAGATGAAATTTTCTCAGGAGAGGACGACTACGAGTGCACATATAGATCAATCATCAACAGAGATAGAATTCTCAGGAGAGGACGACCTACAGGTTCACATATAGTCATACAATCACCGAGATGAAATTCTCCCCCAGGAGAGGACGACTAACAGGTCCACTATAATCAGCACCATACGTCACGAGAATGACGGATTTCTCAGCCACAGGCATGAGAGGCTCCACAACCTTTCTCCGCCAGATCGTCAAGTATCAGCCGTATCTCGCGTCTCCCCTCCGATACACAGCACCGTAGTGTGGAGTTGCATTAGGTAACGCGAGATACGGCTGATACTTGCGCATTAGTTTCTGTTATGGATCAGTATCAACAGTCCTGCCAGTAACGTTACTATATTATCAATGCTACTTTAGTTATAGCCTGATATATGATAGCTAACTTCACACTGTTGTGATGTGACGTTAGCTAACATTCTGTAGCTAACGCCGGTCACTCACCAAGATAGCTGCCCAGTTCTCCACTGGTTCTCCTCACACCACAGCTCAATTTCTCTCCGATGGCCGTTATTTCTTCTAATCCTTGGCTGCTCCTGGTCTCTTGAACGCCTAGCAGGCTCATAATTATAAGGTTGTGGTCCGTCATATGCATTCGAATATGTTCAACTTCTTCTGTGTCTTCTGTGTCGAAACTAGCATTGGGATCCATGTTTATTAATACGTTACACCGGCCGCTCTCCCCCTTGTTTCCCCCATGTTACGTCACGCGCAGGAGGTCACGTGCCGAGGCTTTTTTATGCAGCAGTGAAAATGTTTTACAAAAACGACGCCAGATGTCACTGTAGTGTATATTTCTGTATGTTTTTGGAAAATCTAGTGTATTCATCATTTTCCTACACATTTATTCACAGGTGTCTTTAACCTGGAAATTGCTCTTTAACTTATAGCATTTTAAACTCCACTGAGCCTTGACATGCAAATCCGTTTGGGGTATATGTGTGTGGATTTTTTCTCCTTTTTTGTCTTATTTTCATTTGGAAATTGTCTTTATGTGAATTCCTCGGAAACTTGTGAAAACTGATAATTTCCCAAATGAATTAGTTAATTGATCACAATTATATGGAGGCCTGTTTGCGCCACAGGAAAAGAAAAAAAAATCCTGTAAGTCAATATATTGACTTAGCTATCTCCAATGTTCATCATATAAGCGGTACACAAATTCACCATCAGCTAGTTGTTAATTAACATGCATAATAGCAGTATATTGGCTCTTTATTAGTCATTATAAAATATTTATTAATGCCTTATTCTACATGACCATATTCTACAATTCTACAATCTGTGTATGTTACACTTGCTTCTCTGAGATAATTAAGCGCCTTGTAACTTATTTTTTATAGTTTCACTCCGTTTGAATGTCAGTGGACTGCAAATTATTCAATAAAGGAGCATGGCTGCTCATTCCCTGGCTCTCAAAAGAGTTTGGCTGGCTGCTTAATCTATGTTCACACTGAGACAGTACAACACATAGAGAGAACAGTACACCTATTGTGTAAGTACATACAAGCAGTTCACACAGTATGATCACAAATACATAAACTCTGCTAAAAATCAGTTTTATTAAAAAATACAGGCTGCATATGTGTTCTCAGCCTTGGAGAAACTTGACATGTTTTGGTATGTGTCTGAACCTCTCTTTAGTTGTTCATTAATAAAACAGATATTTCAACGTGAGCCTACTTTGTTCACGTACTGTTGAGGTTAATTTCAGTAGTTGTGTGCTATAATGTATTTACAAAGTGTGAAGAGGAGGCAACTTTAGAATAGGAAACATGTTCAGGTCAATTAGAGTCAAACTAATAGCTTATTGGTTATGAACAAGACTTCACTTTAAAATAGGGAACATATTCTTAGATATTCTTAGATAGAAATACCTAATTAGAGTCAAACTACTAGCTTATTGGTTATGAACAAGAACATTTATTTAAAATAAGGAAAATGTTCTTAGATAGAAATACCACATTTTTAGTTATTTATACATATTGAGGAGAGCATATTAAGACCAAACCTCATGTACAACAACTTCCTTACTTGCAATAAATAAGTACTAATTAGAGGGTTATTGAGGAAAAACTCTCAACTAATGGCCTATTACTTGTAGAATATGGTCATGTAGAATAAGGCATTAATAAGTATTTTAAAATGACTAATAAAGAGCCAATATACTGCTAATATGCATGTTAATTAACAACTAGTTGATGGTTCATTTGTGTACTTTAATATAAAGTTGTACCGCTTATATGATGAACATTGATGTCTATGTGCCTTATTCTGTATTTGACATAATTTTTTTAATAAAAACAAAATATAAGTCAATATAATGAGATAGCTAAGTCAATATATTGAGATAGTAAGTCAATATATTGAGATAGCTAAGTCAATATATTGACTTACAGGATTTTAGATTTTTTTTTATCCTGTGGCGCAAACAGGCTTCCATACAATTCTTAGGTAACTTGCCCAATTATTACAGATATAACTAAAGGACAAAATTTGATGATAAACTATAATACAACATAATAACCCCTATAACTATAACAGTAAAGACGCAACTTTAAAAAACTGTATGTTTCAAAAACCTCCAAATGGCAGCCTGTCAAATTAACTTGCAATAAAGAAACATACTCTATGTCTAACATGTGTGTTAAGAAGAAAACGAAGAAAGACTGTACTACTAGATATCAATGTCATACTTGCTCTTGTGCAAACTCAGTTTTCATGGATGATACTGTTCGTCCCTGTGTATCTTTGTTGGGTTTGTGTGTGTGTGTGTGTGTGTGTGTGTGTGTGTGTGTGTGTGTGTGTGTGTGTGTGTGTGTGTGTGTGTGTGTGTGTGTGTGTGTGTGAGTGTGTGCTCTAATACTTCCTTGTCCTCCACCTCTTTGTTGTCACACTCCTCATCTCTAGATCGCTGCAGAGCCGCTTGCCAGGCACTCCAGCTGAGAGAGAGGGAGAGAAAGAAAGAAAGACCTTTCAGTAAAGAAGCCTGAGAATACATGCTAAAGCAATAGACAAATAATAAGACACGGATGAGCATATGTACACAGTATAATTAGAGCTACAGGAAGAATGCTTGTTTATGTTGTGTGTGTCTGGGAAACAAATGTGTCTCAGCTATAGGGCTGCAAATGATGATCATTTCTCATTGAATAATCAGTAATCAGCAAATCAGTCATTTTTAAGTAATTAAATGATCTATTCAAAAATGGGGGGAAATGATCAATACATTTTACCAGGTTGTTTTAAAATAGTTTTATTGTTTAACCGATAGATACTTTTTTTTTATTCAACAGGGTAATCAACTCAGTAACAACATAATCCCAAAATAAGCACAAACTGCCCAAAGATATTACATTTGAAACTATTATATATAAAATAGAGCAAAAGTACAAATCCTCATAGTTGTTGGAAAGGTTTGTTTAGCGTTTTAGATATAATATTTAGACATTTAATCGATTATTAACAATGAACTGCTACCTCAATAAATGTTTTAAGACATGTTATTCATATGCTTTATTTTGCATTATCATTTATGTTCGATTCAGTTTGCCCCAAAAAACTATTCAATTTCTCAATTTAAAAGTCTTTAAAATTACATCTGTTATTTTCTTTTGATAGAAAATTCCAGAAT